GTGGCTCCAAAAAGATAAACGCCATTGACCGCGTTCATCGTGTTGTTCTCCACGTCAATGTAGCCGCCGTTCTTCACATCAACAACGTCAAAATAAATAGCAGTCTCAGAACTGTCAACCCCACCCGTTACCCTCAGCGTATTTCCCTTCACGATGATCCCGCCACCATCAACAGCAACAGCATCAATAAAATAAACTGCGTAACCATTTCCCTCGATGCGGTTGTCAATTAGCAGCAGCGTCGAGGTCGCACCAAAAGTAAACCCAAAAAAGGAAATGGCGTGGTCCGACTTCGTCACAAGCGTACTGCCCGCCACAAGTATCTGGGAGCTCGTGCCAAAATCACCCTCAAACTCCAATGCACCAGAATCCAGCATCGAGGAGACAACGTTCACGTGCACGCGCGCACCACTCCCCCCAATCGACAGGCCCATGAGGACGCACTGCAGCAGCGTGATGTTGAGTGTCTGTTGTAGTGCGTCGAAGCTCCACAGGTCCAGCACGATCGCGGCGGTGAAGGTCACGTTGACGAAGCACAGACCACGCACACCGGGATCAGGATAGTCCACGGAGCTGATGCTGCCACCGTGCACGCAGCGGACCTCCGTGTCCTTCGCATCGGGGAGCGGAAGCGGCCCAAGGCCGTCCGGAACAGCAGCTGGCACACACGTGTCACCGTAGCCGCCAGCAGCGCACTCACACTCACAGCCACTGATGCTGCTCGTCCTCGCCGCAAAGCACACGGCGTCCACGGTGCACGCACCACAGTCCAGCACCGTCACGGGCACCCAAATATTGAGGTCGTCTCCGTAATCCGTCACAGGAGAGCCCATTGCCTCGTTGCACACGCCGTAGATGATCGGGCGCGAGTCGGATGGTGGTGACCAGTTGCTTGTCATATGCGTAAAGGACGAGTACAAGCCGTACGTGAGTTTGTTGTAAAGTATCGACCACACACTCCGATCGCGGAACGCCACGCCGTTCTCCTTGGCCACGTACACAACGTAGGCGGCGCGGAACTCGTTGTCGCGGTGCGCCAGCCAGCTGCCGCCAGTCACGGTCAGCGTTTCTGCAATGAGCATGGCGAAGCCGAGACGGAAATTACTGGACACAACCTGCAGCACGCTACCGCCATCCAAAACAACATCCCTGAACACACACGCACCTTCGTAGATTTCAATGCTCGACGCAATCCACGAGCTGTTCTGTATGGAGAACACGGAGCCGCCGCTGACACGCAGGTCCGACGCAAGAGCGTACATCACGTGTGCCCGCGACATAACAGCGCAGTTGTCCATGTAGAAGACGCTGGACAGGTTCACGACGAAGCTGCGCTCCACAAGGATCGCAGCGCACAAGCCCCCGCCACAAAACAGCGTCGACCGCGTCATGACAAACCGCGTCGACAGCAGCCGGACGCCGTCCAGGACAAGCGCGGGGCCGTACCGGGATCCTGCGTGGCCAGGAGTCATCGGCACGTACTGCGACCCGCCAACCTTCGCGCGCAGCGTCGAGTTCGCCAGCAGCACACTCGAGTGCAGCGGCATCGCGCCATGCAGCACAATCGTGCCCTCCAGCGACGTCACATTCGTCATGTTGACTAGGGCGTGGGGCATCAGGCGCGCCGTGCTCTCGCTGAGGCCACCAATCCGCAGCTGCGCACCGCCCGCAAGCACGCAGTGGCGCAGCGTCACGTTCAGCGAGTCAGCGAACGCGTCCATCGAGCGCAGGTCCACCGCCACAGTGATCGGTCCGCTGAACACCACCGAGTCGAAGCACGCCGTCGCACGCCCACCGCCAACCGTCACGGACTCCGTCAGCGTCACGCCACTCACGCAGCCCTGCGCACCGCCACCGCCGTCACCGGCCCTCGCAGGCGGCACGTCGAACGGCAGGCACGCCTCGCCCACACCGCCGGCACGGCAGCCGCACACGCAGTCAGAGAAAGACGCAGTCAGCGCATCAAAGCACGCCAGCGCAGCCGCACAGCCGTCGCACGGCACCACGCTCACGGAGGGCAGGCCGGCCATGCGGTAGTCGCCGCTGCTCTGCAGCACCCGGCCGCCGGCACGGTTGCACTGCACCGACACAGCGCCGCTCGTGATCGTCAGCCCGGAGACAAGCGTAGCGCCGGTGGCAGTGCAGCGCGCAATCGACACGGCGCCACCGTCCAGCGTCATCCCCGACAGCGACGCCACCGACGACGCCTCGCCCACCGCCCACACGTCGCGCAGCTCCAGCCACCCGCCGCCACCGACAGTCCCACCGTCGCAACGCACCAGCGACGACGCGACAGACCCCTCGACGCGCACGAAGCGCAGCACCGAATCAAGCACCGCGAGACGCTCTCCAAGCACAATGCCGCCGCCGCTGCTCACAACCGACACGTTCGTCACAGAGAACACCGAGTGGCTCCGCAGACTGAGACGCGACGAGGACGCCACATGCATCGCAGACGCGGTCGGACCGCCCGAAGCCTCCAGCGACACGCCATCAAGCACCACCGCGCTCGACAGCAGATCCACGCCGCCGCCAACGCACACCGCCGACCCGCCCGCGTGCAACGACCTCAGCACAGTGTTGCTCACACGCAGCTGCGTCTGCAACAGCGACGTCGCGTGCAGCACAAGCGGCGACGCCACCGCGTCCGTCAGCCCGCTCAGCTGCGAGTAGCGCATCGGCCCCGCCGTCACAATCGTCGAGTCACGGACCGTCACGTTCGTGTGTGCCGGCAGGTTGTGCACAAACGCGAGCGAGCAGTAGTCGCCGGACAGCCCGCTCACGCTCACCACCAGGCTCCGGTCACTCGCCGGCTCGCCGCTGTAGCCCCGCACGTAGATCTGCGCACCGCCGTCGCACACGCAGTTCCTCAGTTCGATGCGCAGCGCGCCGGGAAGCATCGCCGGCACGTCGAACACAACAGCCACGCCGTTCGTGATGTACACGCCGTCCATCAGCACCGTGTCCACGGCGCGGCCCACCGTGATGGCTCTGTCCACCGTGCCGCCCCGCAGTCGCAGCACCACCGCATGCACCGCGGGCATACACGCCGCAGCAGCAGCCAGCGCCAACAAAAAGAGCAGCGCCACACGCATAGCCGCAATGGCCCTGCACCGCACACGGTGACGGCTGCGCGGACACGCACCCACCACAGACCACATCCAATGAACCAATCAGATACCAACAGGGTTGTCGTGGTGTGTCGCACTCGCCCCGTCGACCGCACCTTTTGTCTAGCAAATCCCTTATACAGATGGAAAATCCAGTGACACAGTTCCGATAAGTCGATATCCCACTACTACTAGTCCTAATGCTGCAATTAATCCCTAACACCTTGAAACGATAGTTGTGCTATTCAAACCAAAGTATCTCTAACTGCACAGTCAGAAAAGGAAGAGGCAGCAACAACAGTAACCAAACACATTGGCACGCAGAAGCATCCGGCCGCGGTCAGTCACCACCAAAGCACAACCACCGACACAAAAAAGCACAGACGCCATCACACCAGTGAAATCATCGCTCTCCCACCGCCCACGCAGCCCCACACAGCCACCATGCAGAGTGGCGGGATTCCAGCAAAAAGACATATGATCATTGGCACTGCTCTTGCAACCAAATGGTCCTACCACAGTGCAGTCCCGATGCAGTGAAAGACACACAAGGGCCTAGACAGACCCACGTGGCGGCGTCGCAACCGGCAGCCATCGAGCGCGTCCGAGCACGAGGCGGTGACACGGAAGAGGAGTGGAGGATTTGCCGTTCGGCTGCAGTCAAGGCGTCGTTCCTCGCTCACGTGGGTCGGCACTGCACAGCGAGCAGCGGCATCATAAGCGCACACGAAGCACACGAGAAGGAAGAAAGAATAAGCACGGTGGCGGCACCCAGACACGGGGGACAAGGGTCCACGTCGATTGTACGGTCTGTTGGCTCATAGACGCCCGGTTTGCAATCACGCCGCTGCCCTGCAGTTCGTCAGTCTGCGGTGGTCTGAAAGGATGGAGGGAAGGGAGAGAGAGAAGGTGCAGCCCTCATCGATCTCGGTTGGGTGTGAAAACGGTGAGGTCATCTCATCAGATCACCTGTAGCAAAGAAGTTCGATGTAATCACTGGGCACGGACATCCAAAAGCTGACGCTGAAAAAAACAAAGGTTTTGGCTTCTTTGAGGCGTTTCCCACGCAAAGGTGAGCAGTCACCACCAGGCGCATTCGTACCCCATCAAAAGGCGGTAAACTTCACCGTCTCCATGGCCTGTCCCACGCGACAAACAGCATTGAAGGTCCGACGCGTTCTTTGGGGCCATGTTATTCCGTCCGCAGCACGTGGCGGTGACACGGAAGAGGAGTGGAGGATTTGCCGTTCGGCTGCAGTCAAGGCGTCGTTCCTCGCTCACGCAAACCATCGCCGACGTGTCGCAGTACGCAACGAGATATATGGCGAAAAGGCTCCCTGCGCCACCCACAGCAGGAAGGTCAGTGCCGCACACACAACGCCCACTAGAAAACAGCGCAGCAGCGGCCGCTCTCCGGCAAGCAGCACAGCGATAAACATCAGGCAGGCATGTACACATACACATGCATGCCGCAAAGCCCTTGGATTGACTGCTTGATCCAGCAGCGACCGCAACAAAGTCCAAAATCGTACTCGTTAGCAACGTCACCCACGTCGCGCTGCAACAAAAAGCCATGCGCACAGCACACACACACGGCAACAACAAAACGAACGAGGCGCGTCCAAGTCCACGGCGCAGTCCTTCACTTCTCTCCGCCCCGACGAAATATCACTGAGCCTCACAGCAGGTCGTGGTGGGTGGCGTCCCACACTCAAGAGTGAGGCACGGCGCACACCATCCGCTCAATTCCGAGTGTGCTCAGCAGGCCGGGGCAGGACACCCAGTCACCCTCGTGCCATCGATGCCTCTAGCAGAAAAGAAAAAGTTATGGGAACATTTCAACGGCACAACCAGCAGAGGGACAGTCAACGGGAAACGAAGACACCCATTGGAAGCAGGCACGGCACAGAAGAACACGAGCCGCAGTGATTTACCAAAAGAAAAAAGGTGAGAAACAAAAGGGTGGGAGCCTGGCGGGATTCACAAACGAAAAAAAAA